TATACCTACTCTATTTACTACCTTGATGAGTTCTAATCTTTCTTTTTTATATATATATTTTTGCAACTTGGTAAAACATGCTCTGTTGTTTCTGTCTGACTACAATAAGTACATTTGCCCGTTTCATGTTTTCCAATTTTAAATAAAGATTGGCTTAGCCCACTATGTCCGGATGCGAGTAATAATAGTATCTTCGTTTCTGTTCCTAAACTCACTTCTTCCCTTCCCTACTCTCTGTTCCCATTCTCTAAAACAAAATATTGGCTACCAGTTAGGTCACTGCCTAATGTAATAAGTTCTTATATGGGTAACATTTGTTTTTCTCTTAAATCACACAACAGTTCTGCTTTATTTCAATGAGACATTGTGTCTTTTCCTTATGTTTATTCATATTGGACTCAACTGACAGACAATAGTGTTTGGAAAAAGGTTTGGTTAATACCTAATCAATATTTAATTACAAACAAGGTTAAGGAAGTATCATTCAAAATTATACACAGGATTTACCCAGCCAAATATTATTTGTTAATTTTTAAATCTGATATTGATTTAAGTTTCTCCTTTTGTGTCCGTTGCCCTGAAACTGTGGTACATTTGTTTTGGCATTGCCCTTTTGGAAAACTATTTTGGCAAAATGTCTGTGATTTTATTGTACAAAATATTGACAGTCATTTTGTTTTGTTATGGAAATATGTATGATTAAAGAACAGCAAAGAAAAGCACAGTCACATTTACATGATAAATCTTATTTGTTTTACATGCTAAATTTCATATTCACAAATGTAAGTTCTCCTGCAAAAAAAAAAAAAACTTTTACCCCAAAGAAACTTTTAATTTTCAACTTGATTGCACATACTGTTATGGATTTAAAATTTTTCAGTTATAGCACCCCCTATGGATAGAATTTGACACAACTTGTGGTGTGACCTCATGTCTTTTGTTTCTTTCAGTTTGGACTTTGCATTCAGCACTTTTACAGTAAGTCCATTAGTTAAAATAAGCAATGCCCAAGAATTGAATTGGCTTTTATCTTCAAAAAGCTATGACATAAGTTTTTCTGTTAACTGGGATCAGCCTTCCAAGTTTGGAGTCTCTGTGATTTAAGGTCTCTGATGCCCAGACACCTTTAGGGCTAGAAAGAAGAAGAACTTTAAAGAGTTTATTGTCCTAGTTTATAATATAATATAATATAATATAATATAATATAATATAATATAATATAATATAATTCAGTATAATTCAGCTATGGGAAAGTAAAGAAACCATGGAGAAGCATAGCATACAAGGAAACCCGTTCATTCAAAACAATAACCACAGAAACACATATCAACATTAAAATAATTGAAATGTTCTGAGATGAGTACATAAACAAAATAACTGCACTTACAGTTAGATGTGAATGCCTATGTTTGTGTGTATGTTGCCAGGTTGCAATACAATATGTAGAAACATGATCTGCCCCCCTTTCCAACGCAAGAGCACACACAGCCCTAGAGCAGGAAGTTAAACTGATGATTCACAAAACTTCATTATTTACAACATATAGCATTTTCATATACATTTTCATATCATTTACATTTTTGTCTTATACCATTCTAAATAAGGAATAAGTAAAATCTTTTATCGAATGCATGAATTGCTAGATTTCAAGCTTATATCTGAGTGACATTGTACATCAATGTGCTGTATGCCCCTGAACTTTTAGAGTGTGACGTGGTTTTGGCCACAGCATATTTTTATTCAGTCACAGAACAAAAGTGAAATGTCACCGCTTCTATGTGAATAATAATATGGAAACATCTAAGAGTGAAAGGTCACACTCTTTAATTAAAGCAGTTTCAAAGAAAACAGGAACTTTGTCCAACTTTGATAAACTCTGAGTTTATAACTATTTGACATGTTTTGGCCAGCAATTATTTTGTACTTGTTTTGTATTTATTCAGCTAATGAATTAAATAGGGTAAATACAAATCAGCCATCTTGGATTTTACTGACACCTAGAGGCGCGATAGCATCATGCAACAGAAATGCTCTGTTCACGTGTTTTTGTGTCACACTATTTAAATGAGAAAACCATTGTTGAAAGCACCTTTAAATACAACACTTTTCTTCATCGTTTTATTAAATCAAACATTCTCAGTATCCCTCGCCGAGCTCAGAGGCTTGTACACCTTATATAGAGCTGAAAGAGATAGAAGAGGATGGGAGAAAAGGCAAATTAACAGGAGGAGAGTGGGAAAGTAGAAGAAAAGAAGATGTGTTTACATTCTCTGTCACATGTGGTCTCTCTCTCTCTCCTGTCAGCTGAAGGCTTCCAGAGAAGCTTTTGTAAAGATGGAATTCCAGTCCTCTCACACTGTCTATAAATAGGTTTGAGAAGAACCATGGACAGCCACCAGAGGCTTGTAACAATTATATGCCTTATTTGATCAGCTTACAAAAGATCTGAATCCCTGCACACTTTACAATATTAGAGATTGTATATGAAAACGGGCCTTGAGCTCCACTTTTCAGCATATTATGATCATCTGCAGAAATATAGGTATCAACATTAAAATAATTGAAATGTTCTGAGATGAGTACATAAACAAAATAACTGCACTTACAGTTAGATGTGAATGCCTATGTTTGTGTGTATGTTGCCAGGTTGCAATACAATATGTAGAAACATGATCTGCCCCCCTTTCCAACGCAAGAGCACACACAGCCCTAGAGCAGGAAGTTAAACTGATGATTCACAAAACTTCATTATTTACAACATATAGCATTTTCATATACATTTTCATATCATTTACATTTTTGTCTTAAACCATTCTAAATAAGGAATAAGTAAAATCTTTTATCGAATGCATGAATTGCTAGATTTCAAGCTTATATCTGAGTGACATTGTACATCAATGTGCTGTATGCCCCTGAACTTTTAGAGTGTGACGTGGTTTTGGCCACAGCATATTTTTATTCAGTCACAGAACAAAAGTGAAATGTCACCGCTTCTATGTGAATAATAATATGGAAACATCTAAGAGTGAAAGGTCACACTCTTTAATTAAAGCAGTTTCAAAGAAAACAGGAACTTTGTCCAACTTTGATAAACTCTGAGTTTATAACTATTTGACATGTTTTGGCCAGCAATTATTTTGTACTTGTTTTGTATTTATTCAGCTAATGAATTAAATAGGGTAAATACAAATCAGCCATCTTGGATTTTACTGACACCTAGAGGCGCGATAGCATCATGCAACAGAAATGCTCTGTTCACGTGTTTTTGTGTCACACTATTTAAATGAGAAAACCATTGTTGAAAGCACCTTTAAATACAACACTTTTCTTCATCGTTTTATTAAATCAAACATTCTCAGTATCCCTCGCCGAGCTCAGAGGCTTGTACACCTTATATAGAGCTGAAAGAGATAGAAGAGGATGGGAGAAAAGGCAAATTAACAGGAGGAGAGTGGGAAAGTAGAAGAAAAGAAGATGTGTTTACATTCTCTGTCACATGTGGTCTCTCTCTCTCTCCTGTCAGCTGAAGGCTTCCAGAGAAGCTTTTGTAAAGATGGAATTCCAGTCCTCTCACACTGTCTATAAATAGGTTTGAGAAGAACCATGGACAGCCACCAGAGGCTTGTAACAATTATATGCCTTATTTGATCAGCTTACAAAAGATCTGAATCCCTGCACACTTTACAATATTAGAGATTGTATATGAAAACGGGCCTTGAGCTCCACTTTTCAGCATATTATGATCATCTGCAGAAATATAGGTTTGTCTTTACACGTACAGCTTTAGATTATTTCTCCTAAACTTCTGCAGATCTGAATCAGGAGTTTTCAGCAGGAGTCTACAACTATTAGATGGTATGCTAATATTTTTATTTCAAAATATTATGCGTGAAATAATGAAAATATAGGGGAAATTACAATATTAATTTACCCAGAAATAAAGGAATAGTTCAACCAAAAATGAAAATGTACTCACCCTCGGGCAATCCAAGATGTAGAGATTGTTTCTTCATCAGAACAGATTTGGAGAAATTTAGAATTGCGTGACTTGTTCACCAGTGGCTCCTCCGCAGTGAATGGGTGCCATCAGAATGAGAGTCTAAACAGCTGATAAAAACATTACAATGAGTAATCTACATGATTCCAGTCCATCAGAAGCTTGGATTTAATAACACTGAGATACTACTGTAGTTTGTGTTAATATTTAGAATTTTGAGTATTTATTTGGATTTTTTCCAGTTTCCAATTTAATTTTAGTCAGTTTTAGCAGATTTTTTGTGTGTTTTTGTCATTTTTATTCGTTATTTTTTTTTTTTTATCTTTTCAAATATATCTATAGTTTTTATAATTTTTTAGTTTGAGATATTTTAGCACATCAGGTTAAACTAAATAAAATTAAGAAATGTTGCCTTGGCAACTAACTGAAATAAAATAAGATTTTATTTTCTTTCATCTAAATTTAAGTTTCTTTTATTTCAAGTAAATGTTTTTAATGATTTTAGTTTATTGAACTTTTTTAATTGACTTCATGAACCTGGCATATACAATGAAAGTTGATGGGGTCTAAAACATCATTTGACATTTAGTTATTTATTTATTTATGCAAGAAGAAAGTCTTTGGCATTACATGAGGGTGAGTAAATGATGACACCATCACATGGCATGACATAATTGGCTATCCCTTTAATTAGAAAAAGGAATAAAAAAATCATACTTGTCATTTCCCAAGCTTGCTGGTCTGGACCAGAGAGTCAGATAAGTTTAAATGATGAGATCACCACTGTGAGGGGCAGAGTGGGTTCTCTCTTTCAGTTCATAGTCAATCAGCTCAATATTCTTGTGCCAAAAGTTGGAACAGCTGGGCAGAGAAATTATTTGTTAGGGGTAGGATGGAGAAGATGGTATGGGAGAGAGAAAGTGGGCTGAAGTAGTTTGGGGTAGCTGGGAAGGGAGGGGGCAGAAGCCTACAAATAGCCACAGATGAGCATGCCATGCGCTCATTCTGTCTCTGTCCTCTCCGGAGGGTGTTTGTATTCATCTGGTCTGTCCTTCTTGTGCTCCAACATGAGCCACTATGCCTCTTCCTCATCCTCTTCATCATACCGTCGAATGTTTGGTGGTCCTGGCTACCTGACACCACCAATGTCCCGTGCAATGTTCTGCCGAGCCTCCACCAGGGGGTCTGGCAGCTCTCGGGTCAGCTCCAGAGTCTACGAGGTCAGCAAGTCCTCCACTTCCTCTCCTGGATTCTCCAGTCATCGAGCCTCCTACAGTATGCCCAACTTGTCTGCGGGCTATACCCGCTCCTATGGTGGCATGGGTGAAACGCTGGACTTCAACCTGGCCGACGCGCTCAACCAGGAGTTTCTCCAAACACGCACCAATGAGAAAGCTGAACTTCAGCACCTAAACGACCGATTCGCCAACTACATTGAGAAGGTCCGCATGCTGGAGCAGCAGAACCAGGCGCTGGTGATTGAGGTGGAGCGCTTGAGGGGGCGGGAGCCCACATGGATCGCCGACCTGTATGAGGATGAGATGAGGGAGCTGAGAAGAGAGATCGAAGTCGTCACCAGTCACAGATCACATGTGGAGGTGGAGCGGGATAACTTGGCAGATGACCTGCAGAAACTGAAACTCAGGTGAGATGCATTAAGCATGAATCTCTACTGGAGGAAACATCTTAAACTAGCCTAAATTGGTTTAACAGTCTAGTTGGGCTGGTCTGGCTTGTTTTAGACTGGCTTGTTTTGGTCTGGGTCTTGGGCACTTTCCAGGTGGTCAGGCTACGAAAATTTGGCTGCTTCAATCTTAAAAATAAAAGTTCAAAAAGGAATTTTTGCAATGATGTCACAGAAGAACCATTTTGGGTTCCCCAAGAACCGTTCAGTCACCATCGCTTAAAAGAAACTTTCTTAGTGTGAGAGCATTTTAAGAATCTAAAGAACCTTTTCCACCTCATGGAACCATCAATGCCAATAAAGAACCTTTATATTTAAGACTTTTGGCCAGACTGGGAGTCCAAAAAGATCATCTGAAGATTATCTTGGCCAGGCCAACAAACCAGCTTAGGCTTATGGAAACTTTTTTTTCAGCATGATACAAAAGAAAGAGGGGCTTAAAGTAGTACACTTGTAAACAGATGTTATTTGATTATTCAAAAATATATGCACATTTTATTAATGTATTCTTTGTGGTACTGAAGCTGTCAACCCACTCTTGAGTTTCATATTTAGAAACACACAGTACATTATATAACAATCCAGAGACATTCAGTGCCAACAGGGGAACAAACATGATCTCTCCCCATAGCAAACACCTCACACACATTCTGCTGCCCCAGACAGTGAAGATAACACAATCTGAGAGAAATACAAACACAATGTAAACACAATGTGAAGTCTATATCACAGCAACAGGAGCACTTGTTATTCTTGTGAACTATTTAACAAATGGAGGAGAGAAAAGTGACCAGTTAAAATGAAATTTATTTCATGTATTGATTACAAATTAACACAACAAGAAACAAGCCACAACGCAATGGAAACAAGCCACAACACAATGGAAACAAACCGTAACACCATAGAAACAAGCCGCAACACAACGGAAACAAGCCACAACACAATGGAAACAAACCGTAACACCATAGAAACAAGCCGCAACACAAAGGAAACAAGCCACAACATAATGAAATTAGCACAACACAACGGAAACAATTGCCGCAACACAACGGAAACAAGCCACAACACAACGGAAACAAGCCACAACATTAAGAAATTAGCACAACACATTGGAAACAAGCCAAAACACAACGGAAGCAAGCCGCAACACAACAGAAACAAGCCACAACACAACGGAAGCAAGCCACAAAACAACTGAAGCAAGCCACAACACAACAGAAACAAGCCACAACATAACAAAATTAACACCACACAATGGAAACAAGTCGCAACACAACGAAATTTGCACAACACAACAGAAACAAGCCGCAACACAATGAAATTAACACAACACAACAGAAACAATCCACAACACAACGGAAGCAAGTCGCAACACAATGAAATTAACACAACACAATGGAAACAAGCTACAACACAATGGAAACAGGCCATGAAATTAGCACAACACAACAAAATTAGTAACTATGCATTGTATTGTGGCGATTTCATTGTGTTGTGGAGGTTTCGTTGTGTTGTGCACTACTGGGCCACTGTAGGGACAGTCTTCTTAACATGGACAAACAAAAGCAGTTGGAAAGGAAGAGAATTTATATAATCAGTTTGATAGACCACTGAGAGACCGCTGGGCACAGGTGTTTCAGGGTCACTGGAGAGTTCTAATGTGTTTTTTATTTAATGCTGAAAAGAGTTTCAAATTGCCTGTCTCTGTAGTAACCAAGCTAAGAAATGATTAAACATGACTTCATCTGGTCTACCAACCAATTATGAACGAAATAAAATGCTATATCAGGCCTAGAGAGGTTATTAAAGGCTTAAAGAAAACTGCCTTTATAAAGGAAGCTATTGTCCTATCAAGCATGTTGTTTACAATAGTCTAGCTTTACTTCCTATTCAGGAGTTAGTCAGCCTAAATGTGCTGGCCTCACTCCATCTTCCAGCGGGAAAAGCTTTGTGTGAGGTTGCTGTAAACCTTCAGTCTATAAAAGGACAGGAAATAGGCTGGCTGTAATAAATATGAGATACATGACTCCCTTCGCTCATTCTTCTCGCCAGGCTTCAGGAGGAGATTGCACTGAGGGAAGAGGCAGAGAATAATCTGGCCGCTTTCAGAGCGGTGAGTCCCCTAAAACACGAACCCCCCTCTCTTGAATTACATTCTGTTTTATTTTCTCATTCGTAATGAATAATAAAATGTGGCTTAGTTTTATTTTGATATTACAATCAATTTCAGGACGTGGATGCTGCCACTTTGGCCCGCCTGGATCTGGAAAGACGTATAGAGACTCTCCAAGAAGAGATTGCCTTCCTCAAGAAGATCCATGAGGAGGTTAGCACATTTAAGGACGTTACATTTTTATTGTCTGTGCCAATAAAATGTTGTAAAACACAGACTACAGCCAAGCCAACATAAAATGTAACACATCTCATACAAACTCTGGTATTAATCACTTTCTTCAGTCAAAAAATGATTCACTGATTTATTTGTAGTATTGCTAAGGCTGATTCATGAGACAATCAGTGAGTCAGATAGTCATCTGTCTCGTACAAACTCAAAATTATTCATTTTAATATTTCGATTTGAAAATTCAGTTCATTTTAGTGAATCAGTGTGTTAGAGCTTGTGCAAGTTAATCTCTTAAGAAAAAGGTTAAATGATTTAATAAATTATTTGAGTCTCTTTACTTAGGATTGTGTATGACAGTCTCTTTTTGTAATGCAATATCTAGTTAAATTCTCCTATTTGTCGCTATACTTTAGACTCAGTTACACTACCATTCAAAAGTTTGGAATGTTTTGTTTTTTAATGTTTTTGAAAGTATTTTATGCTTACCAAGGATGCCTTTATTTAATCAAAAAATTCAGTACATTTTTAAATAAATTACACATTATGAAATATTATTACAGTTTTAAATATTCAGTTTTCTATTTTAATATATTTTAGAATGTAATTTATTTCTGTGATGGATGAATTTTTAGCAGCCACGTCTTCTGTAGCACGATACTTCTTATTAGTAATTTTAATGGAAATTGGGATCATATGTTTTTCAGGATTCTTTGATGAATTAAAAATTCAAGAGTTTATTTGAAATAGAAATATTTTGTAACATCAGATATGTATTTACTGTCACTTTTTCTCAGTTTAATGCAGAAATAAATTGCATTACTAAGTAAAAGTAATTACTTCTTCCAAAATAAAAGAAACATCTTACTGACCCCAAACTTTTTAATGGTAGTGTATATGAGGTTTACTTTTTTGTATTTCATATAAATTTACCTGATCTTGTTTAATGTTGTAACTATAACTCAGACCCTCTGCTTTTTTGTATTATTTACATACTGGTACATGTTTTTTTACATTGTACTTATGTTTAAAAAACACATTAATGTAATTACATCTAATTATATTGTTGACCCAACCCCACCCCTAAACCCACTCTTAAACCTTACCATACCATGAAACCCATAAACTTACCCATATTCCATCTCAGTAACAACAAAAGTGTTTAGGACACAGTAAATACACTGTACCACACAATTATTTGTACATAGTAGCCTAGTACAGTAGTCAAAGATGCCTAAGATAAAGTGGGACCAATTATAAAATTTTAATAGTTTTATATTTAAACTATTCTCCTTAACTTTGGTCTAGCTACATTTTAGTTAGTAATGTCTAGTGTAGACCCCCCCCCCCAAAAAAAGAAGTAGCTTCAAGCCTCTGTTTCAGGGCCAGCTGTGTGTGGATGTTTGAGATTAGTCCTGCCACTAGTCCTATCAGCAATGCCATGCTGCTTTATTAAAACAAGCACAAACACATACACACAAGCTTTTTCTTTCTCTATGTGTAGGAAATTCGTGAGTTGCAGGCCCAGATGCAAGAGACTCAAGTCCAAATCCAGATGGACATGTCCAAACCGGACCTGACTGCTGCCCTGAGGGACATCCGTGCTCAGTATGAGGGCATCGCTGCAAAGAACATCGCAGAGGCTGAGGATTGGTACAAGTCAAAGGTGAGACAGAAGAAGAGAAAAAAAAAGAACCTATTGATTTTTGACCTTTGCATTTTCACCATTAGGTATCACAGCTGCATTTTATACATTTCCCTATGCACCTGACTTAAGATACCTCAGGGTCTCGTCTCTGGCAACATATCCCCAAAGTGTCTCAAGCAACACTAATAAATTTGTATTCTTGGATGTCTCGTCCCTTTTGAACACTTTCATTTAGGTCTAAAATCCTATACTTTTTTAAACCTTACGTTGTGTTCTGGTCAATGTAACCCAGAAAATATTTTCTTTCCTGAAAATGATAGTTAATGTTATCACATTGGACTAAAACTTACAGACTGCGGGTCACACAAGTGTGCATATGGACTATGACTGTGGATCCAGGGTCCCTCTCACTTCTGGGGTCGGACACACCTTGTCACACTTGTGGTGTTTCCAGTCAAAAATAGACTGCCTACAAAAAAATTGCTTATTATGCTATATTATTGTGAAATATTGCATTCAATCTTTTTCACAACTTGTTTTCCTTCAATTAAAACAGGTTTTGTATTTCTATTTTGACTCTTTTTGATCATAGGTCCCACTGATCAGAGTTTATTTGGCTCAGTTTTGAGTGTACTTTGCCAAAACACACCATTTTTGGTTCCACAAAGAACCATCTCTTTCTTGTCTTTTTTATAATCTGAAGAACCTTCTTTCGCCACAAAGAAACTTTTGTGAAACAGAAAGGTTCTTCAGATGTTAAAGGTTCTTTATGGAACCATTTAGACAAAAAAAAGGTGCTTCTATGGCATCGTGAAGCACCTTTATTTTTAAGTGAATAATTCACATTGCTTTTTTCACTCAAAACTTTATAAGCTCATAAAAGCTTTATAAATTGCATAAGCTCAGATCAGTGAGGTCTATGATCAATAAGAGTCAAAAAGGAAATACAAAACCTGTTTTAATTGAAAGAAAACAAGTTGAAAAAGATTGAATGCAACATGCCTTCTAAACTGCCTACAAAAACTTCCTTGGTATGATATATTATTGCCAAAACATATCATACCAAGAAATTTTTTGTAGGCAGTTTATTTTTGACTGAGAACGCCAGATTAAGTAAAGGATTTTCTGACAAGCACAAGGGATAAAACGTAGCTTTGTTGTATTTATATTATGAGTAGCTTTAGGTTTTGAAAACTAAAGTTTCAAAGTAGCTTCCACAACACTGGTGAACTGAGTGAGATAAATGAAAGGGAAACCTGCTGAACTTTGATCGTTGTATTTTCACCATTTAGGTGTCAGATCTTAACCAGGCAGTGAGCAAGAACAACGAGGCTCTCAAACAATCCAAGCTGGAGACCATGGAGTACAGACACCAGATTCAGTCCTACACCTGTGAGATCGACTCTCTCAAGGGCACCGTATGTTTTATCTGTTTTGATGTGGACATACACGTTCTTTGTCTTTCTCCATGTGGCATTCATCTCTTTGTCTCTCACTCTGTAGAACGAGTCTCTCATGAGGCAGATGAGAGATATGGAGGATCGCCACGGTCGTGAGGCTGGTGCTTTCCAGGACAACATCGCCAGGCTGGAGGCAGAGATCGCCAACATGAAGGATGAAATGGCGCGTCACCTGCGAGAATATCAGGACCTGCTCAATGTTAAGATGGCCCTGGATGTGGAGATCGCCACCTACAGGAAACTGCTGGAAGGAGAGGAGAGCAGGTACAAAGGAAATGAAAAAGATTTGTCCTTCTTGTTTTTAACATACTCCACCCTTTCTGCTTATGGCTGATGGCTTTTTGTTACTTTTTACCTTTCTTATTCTCTCACGTTAAAGGATTGTGATACCCATGCAGTCATATTCCACTATAAGCTTTAGAGGTAAGATGGAAACCTTGCGATATACTAAAAATGTTGTAGATATGTTTCCTCAGAGGCCACTAGGAGGAGTTGTACCTACCGGCACAGATTCCTGCAATTTGTGATGTCTTGTGAATAATTAAAAATAAAATAATAATAATTATTATTAATTACAAAACATGAGGTAAACAGCGATTTAAATCAAAGTTAAAATTTATAGTTAATATTTATAATATTTGGGGTTGGTAATTTTTTATTTTTTAGAAAGTAATAATTTTATTCAGCAGATGCACATTTTTGTTTGGTTTCTAAAAAAAAATATTTCAAATAAAGGCTAGTCTTTTAACCATTCTGTTCATCAAAGAATCCTGAAAATGCTCAAAAAAGTATCAAGGTTTACACAAAAATATTAAGCAGAACTATTTTCAACATAAGTAATAATAAGTAATGTTGATAACACTTTGCTATAAGGTTCCTTCTGTTAACATTAACTAACAATGAAACTAAAATCTAAAATGTTTATTAATCTCAGTTAATGTTGATTTCAACATTTTATACATTACTAAAATCAAAAGTTGTATCTGTTAATGGAACTGAGATAACTTTTTTAGCTAAAAAAAGTTTTAAAAGATTAAGAAATACTGTAACAAATGTATTCCACATTCTTTGTTAATGTTAGTTAAAGCATTAACTAATGTTTACTAAAATAGGACCTTATTGTAAAGTGTTACTAAAATCTATGTATGTAAAATGTGGGCTACTAAAATGGTAGTGTATATTTATTTAATTAAATATAATTTTCAACAGAGACGAGTCCAGAGCACCAACAGAGAGCATCTGAAATGCACTCAAAGAAAACGGTCCTGATCAAGACCATTGAGATGCATGATGGGGAGGTGTGATATGTGTACCCACACACACACACACACACACACACACACACTTCAGTTCATCCCAGTGCTGTCTTCTTTCATTCCCTCCTGTATATAACCTTAACATCCTTTGCGATATTAGGGTCATCTTTGGTGCAATAAAAATAAACTACTTAAGTAAAATTTAAAAATATTTGATTACAGTACTTAAATACTATAAACCAATAAATAAAATGGGGAAAACTCACTTTGCAGGAGTGATTTCCTCACAAATTGGCTGCCTGTCGACAAAGAGCAGATGAAGTCTGTCTTTAAAGGGGTCATATGATGCGATTTCAATTTTTCCTTTCTCTTTGGAGTGTTACAAGCTCTTGGTGCATAAAGATCTGTAAAGTTGCAAAGAATAAAATCTCAAATCCAAAGAGATATTCTTTATAAAAGTTAAGAGTTCCATTAATGTTTTCTCTGTGTGTTTGTGTTTCTGTGTGCGTCTGTTCACCTATACATGAGTCTAAATATGCCCAGACAGAAATAGAGAGATGAATCACAGATCACAAGAGACACAGTGAATTCACAAAGTTTACTATAATAACCAGGCCCATACAAACACATGCTGTTGTACAGTGTCCAAAAACAAAAATGTTGATGTCAGATTGTCAAAGGTTTCATTGCATGAAGACTTTCGGTCTTTAAGACGACACTCTGTTATAAAGTTATCACGGTAAGTTATAAAGAAACGGTAAGTTATAAAGAAATCATGACTATGCATGTAAAACCGAACAAACAAACAAACTAATAAATACCACCATCCATTCACCTGTCGGGACTCGGGATCCCTTGAAAAACAATTAATTAGAAATAAACCAATATCTAATAAATATGATAGGTCATGTTGAAATGGATATACTAAATGTGCATTTTATGTACATAACATAGATTTTCTGCTTTGCAGAATAAAAAAAAGAAAAAGAAAGAGAGAGACACCATGGCAGAATCTGCTCATTTCAATTGTCTGTATGAAGATGGGCCTGAAAACGCATTGTGGAAAGGAAAATGGGGGTGCTTATGTCATGCAGTTTGCCCCAAAGGACTGTGGGGATCTTTTAAGAAGGACGTTTGCTCCTCAACCATCATGTCTTCCTGGACACCCTATTATGTTCACTAGTTTTATACACAGCAGTAACTGAACGCTCATGGTGCCATCCGTTGCACTCGCCTCCGAGGGGACAAATCTACAGTTTTTGCATCATTATTCTGTGTCCATGTACTGTATAGTTCTTCCCCCAGTACTCCAAAACATTCCCGCTGTCCCTGAGTATCATCTTCGCTCATTTCCTCCATCTTGTCCTCGTTCTTTCACCAGACGTCTCATCAGCTCTGCATCCCAGAGTGGACCAGGTGGCTCTGATCAGCAGTAATATGGCTCTTTGCCCTACAGCCTTTCTGAAACAAGGCTAAGGAGTTGGATTCTCCTGAGAGAGTTTCTTAGTGGTGTCTCGAAAGGCACCCCTGCTCGACGGTATTTGGTACAGTCCTGGGCCGGAATGCGGGATCTCACAATACAGACACTGACTGGTGGAATCCACAGATATGAGAGGAGGAACGGCTGACTTCCAAATAGCAGTCAGCGTTGTAGTACAAAGACAAGATTCAGCACCAACTGATGAATTTGTTACAAACAGAAATGCAATATCGTGAAACATTGATGAACGGGCAACACACTAATTCACCACAGACGTTTTTTGAAAATAATTTAACAGAGTGGAGCCCAGATTGATTTTCTTTTTAACCACCTCATAATGCTTTCCGTATTAGGTGAACAGAATGCCACATCTCAGGCACATGTTCAGGTAAAGTGTGTTAGTGTAACTGTGTTTGTGAAAGCAGCTCTTTAATACAACCGTAGTCTCGGAATGATGCATCCAGTATTATAGTTAGAAGTGCTTTCATTGGTCAGTTCTGAATGGTGAGGAGACCCAAGCCTCTGTGCGTGCGGGACCCAGGGTCAGGTCAGCACCGGATGAGAGTGTGTGTAGGGGGGGGTGAAGAAGTGAGTGTGGTCAGACAGCTTTGCCATAACAGGAATAAAACGGGAATAAATTACATATACATACATACATATACATATATGAACAGTTCTTTTAAACTGTAATAATATTTCTCAAAGTTACAGTTTTTAAAAGTACTTTTTATCAAATAAATGCAGCCTTGGTGAGGATAAGGACTTCATTCAAAAACATAAAAAGAAATCTTAATTATTCCAAACTTTTGACTGGTACTGTATATACACAATGTGTTTCTAATATGAATAGAACGTTATCAATTTAAGTTTGAAAGTGTTTATTATTATTATTGTTATTTCATATAAGTTTTCTGCTTCCATAGTCAACAGTGTGTATTTTAAGAACTCTAAATGTTTTTGGTAGTACTTAAATGTCTCAAACCTAAAATAAACATTATGTGGTTGAAAACACTGAACGGTTGTGATAAATGACAAGTGCTAAGCAAGTCTCGCTCTGTCTCAGTGCCAGTCAAAGCACAAAAGCAGATTTGAATTTAGCAGTTGATCACGTGACGTACTAAATGTTCTAATCACACTGGTGTGATTGTAAGAGCCAAGGACCAGCCTAGAGTGATCATTACAGTGTTATCGTATGCGTCAAAGGGTTAAATAAAATCTCCATCCAGATAATTAGAAAAGTAATTAGGCTGAAAAATTTAAACAAAAACCATCAAGGAATTCATTACAGGGACATTCTTTTTAAGTTTTGGCGGCGTTTTTGTCACTTTCCCATTAAGTTCCACCCTGCTCTGCAATATATGTGAATAAGTTAGAGCAAGTAGGTATGTGTAGGATGGTGTGTGTGGACTCACAGGAGAAAGCACATCTCCATCAAAGCGTCGTATAGGGTTGGGTTTCCTGCGGTAGGCGGGCTCTGGGTGCAGGGCTTTGGCGGCATGTGTGTGGTGTGCGTCCTGCGGCTGCTTCCTCTTTTTCTTCCTGCTGCTCTCCCTCCTCTCCTCCTTCTGACGTATACGCATAAGCTGAACTCGCCGCTGCTGGCGACTGATCATCACTGAGAAAGAGAGAGAAAGCACATTACATAACAGAAACATACATACTGAACATTGTATGTTTTGTCTATACAAAAATGAAAACTTTAATTATCCACGTACATTTATGACTTGCACACAAAAAAATTATTTTTGCAGCCATACAATAGTTCATGTGATGAACAGACAGAATATGCTTACATGCACACCGGCTTTCTGGTTATTGCAATAAAATTGTTTAAGACATGAAAGCTGTGCTCATGTTTACTAGCACTGTTTTGGCATTGTTACCAACCTGCATATATATATATATATATATATATATATGTGGTAATATGTTGGTAATATGTGGATCTGCCAGTAAGTGGCTTTCTCCACACTTCCTTTACTTTAGTTATCAGTTCTTCTCTCATGCATACTCTTTAAAATCCTACATATGTGTTTACATGCATTCTCTGGCACAAACCCAGGTGTAACACTTTCTCTTAATCCCTTAAACGGCATAAAGAAAATGATTTTGGGTTTACATGATGCTTCAGAAAGCTGCTTTCTGCAAAAACCTTGAAATCAAACAGTGTATGTAAACAGTCACTAAATGCTCTGTTAAGAGGATAGCTAGCTGTGCTTTTTTGTAGGGCTGTGCAATTTGTTTCAAAGTTTGTGATTTATATATCATATAATAATAATAATGAACATTATTAAATAAAAATTGAAACAAAATAAGAAATACTATTTCACTATTCACTATCACTATACTACTACTACTACATTTTTTCCCCCAGTACAACTGTTCAAATGTTAAAACCATCAAGCTTTTATTTTGTTGGAAAACTACTGGGATCCCTTAAAGACATGATAAAACAGCGACAGACGTTTCTTCTGTATTGTGATGTACATGTGAGTAACGGACCATCAACAAAGAAAAAAGTAGGCAAGACTTGGTTGTATGCATTGATTGTTGATAGGATTTTGAGACATGGATTTGAAAGTGGATGCAGTTGAACACGAGCTTGCAGTGGCGGGTTTAAGTGGACTAAATGATTTAAGTCCTGCATACATCATCAGAGATAAGGGGGTCATTTTTCACTTGAAGGTACATTTATGACATTTTGATTAAGGTGTAAAAACGTACAAGGTGAAAATTAAACATATGCAATGGATGAACCTTTCACAATAAGATCTATAACGTGTTTAAAAAAACAAATCCATTTCATGCCAACTAGGGCTGCACGATAAATCGCATGCGATATTTAACATGCGTATCTTGTCAGTAAAGCCATTCTGTAATCAGCGGTAAATCTCCATCACGTGCGGGCTTTCACATGGAGCAGCATTAACTACACAGAGCCGTTGTTCACCGACAAGCTGCGCAAAACATGCGCAAAATATGATCGTGGTTTTGCACAGCTTGTCAGTGAACAATGGCTCTGTGTAGTAAATGCTTCTCCATGTGAAAACGTGATCGAGATTTACGGCTGATTACAGAACCGGCTTTACTGACAAAATGCGCGTTAAATATCGCATGCGATTTATCGTGCAGCCCTAATGCCAACTTAAAAGCTTCTTCTCTTTATAAATGCTCCTGAAACACTGAAAACACTGGATCATAAGCTGCATGTGTGTAAATAAACACAGTGCCACACTTTGCTTTAAAATCTGCTGTGCATATATTTATCTAATTAAATTGCAGCCTTTACTATTTGATAATCACGCTAAGACACATCACAATTTTAATTTTATTTCAATTAATCATTCTGCCCTTGCATGGACTACTTTTATGGTACTTTTACTGTCATGTTTGGAGTTTGAAATATCTGTGCTCATTCACTTTCAAAAGAGCACTTTGCACGTTCTATTAAACTTCTCATGTGTTCCATGGAAATCATACAATTTTGGAATGCCGTGAGGGTGAAATAGTGCCATACTTTTTTATGTTTGGATGAACTCTTTCTTTAAGTTGTTGGACATTATAAACCATTCAGTGCACACACAACTTTACTGTACCGGAAACAGACAAACAGACAGAGAGAGCCTCTCCATGAACTGATACTCTGCTCTGCATGATGTTTCTGTGATCATTATTCACACAGGCCTGAGAGCACACCGACAGACAGGAACCATCTGCTGTGCTGCACACATTCATACAACCTTCTCTCCCTCTCCGGTACAGTAAATCCACAAGAACAGTGTGTCATATATTCCAAACAACACTTTGTCTGTCCCTGACTCACCCTTCGTGTGGGAGTAGCCCTCTGCCGTCACTCTCCATTGCACCAAAACACCCAGCAGGGCGAGAGCAGGCCAGGCTCCCAGGACCACCCACGTCGTCCAGCACACTGGCTCCCGGGGGCCCGTTTTCACCCGCTCGTAAATGTACCTCACCAGCGCGAAGAGCTCCACGAAATAATCCGTAGCCACAACTATCACTGCAGCCCCAAACACGGCCGTGGAGAGGGTGGTGAAGCATCTCTGCCACTGCAGGGTGAGGACAGCGAACAGCATGCCCAGCCCCAGCAGGACGCCCAGGGGCACCCATACTGACCGCGGGGGGTTGGACGACAGCTCCTCCATTCCTATCAGGGTCCCGATGCCCACCAGCAGGCCCAGGAGCAGCCCCACCATGAAAAGGCCAACGCTGCGTACCAACATGGTCACCAGGCCACACAGAGTGCCGATGCCCAGGCCAATGCCCACGCTGGCCTCAACGCTCAGCTGCGTGTCCAATACTCGCTCCTTGTAACAGAGCAGGAAGATGATTACAGAACCAAACATGAGCCCCGTGAGGAAGAGTACAGCCTTAAAACAACGGTAACCTGCAAAACAGAGAAAGAACAGGAGGTGAGAACTGAGTGAGTGAAAAAAATGTGAGAAAGAGTGAAGGAGGGAGAAGAAAAAGATAAAAATAGCTAGACAGATAAAACACTGGAAATGCACAGAGTGGCTGATTTCACAGCTCAAGAATAGCAAAATAGTGTGAGACCACAATTCTGCTCAGTTTATTAACAGCTCAACACTTTCCAACACTTTCAATATGGAAAAGTGACTTTGAGGTTGATTCACTCAGGATTATGCCTTTCATGTATAATATTTCCAGCTCTACACCATCGTAAAACGTCTTTTACAGGGTGATGCACAAACGTGAGGGAAAGCCAAAAACCAAGTTTATGGGACATAGCATTATTTCTTTTATTGTTTTTTTTCTAAATAAAATATTTTGATTTGAAACTCTAACATTCAAAACTCCCCAGTAGGGATGTACCCATATTATTTCCGGCTGATACCCCATACAGACAAGCCAATTATTATTTTCATGTTATGGCAGATATAAAAATTCTATACAATGTTGTCTCATTGTATTAGGGATATGCCGGTATCAAATTCTCATGTTGCGATTAATTGTTAATGCTTTTATCACGGTATACGGTATTATCGCGATATTGAAATTTAGTTTAAAAAAAAGTGCTGTCATAATACAGTATAACAGGGTTAATAACTTTTTTCTTATAACAAAAATAACTGAACATTTAAATGCAATAAAGCAATACAGAAAAATGTATAAAGTTAAAAGTTTTACACAGATTAAAGTGCAAAAGAACTATAAAGACCAATAGGTATCACTTTACAATAAGACCTCATTAGTTAACCTTAGTTAATGCATTAACATTCACAATGAGCAATAGCTACATTTGCTACAGAAGTTATTAATCTTTGTTAATAAAATACAAGTCTTAGTTCATGTTAGCTCATTAAATAACACAGTTACAACTTTCGATTTTAACATCCTGTTATTAAATATTGGAATAGTTAAGATTAATGAATGTTCAGAAGAATTTTTCATTGGCAGTTTGTGTTAACTAATGAATTAACTAATGTTAACTAATGAAGCCCTAATGTAAAGTGTGACCGAACAATAAAGAATCAAAACACTTTCAAACAATATCTAGGACATGTTGTAGTCCAGATTAAAATGTAAAAAAAAGTTATTAAATAAATAGCCTATTAAGTCTAAATATGTAAGTATTTGGCGCTGTGATGAACATCAAAGTTGCAAATTCAACATGGAAAATCTAGTCATGTGAAATGTATTTGTATAGAGCTTTTCAAAATACACAGTTTCAAAGCAGCTTTACAGAAAATCATGATGTTAATGTTTAAAATATCTTATCTTCATTTAAAAGTTAGCAGATTAAAGCTGGATGATAATATAGTTTACAATTTTGCGACAACACAAGAAATCAAGCAGTTGAGATCATCTATATAGTATATATTGCCCTACAAAAATATACTGTATGTATAAGTATAAAGTTGGAGATACCTATATATAAGGCTGGATATAATATATATCCAACTTGATACAAAGAGCTGTGTGATGATACAGTTTACATGTTATCATATAAACAATAATGCAGCTAAGATTACAGTACACTCTGGAAAAAAAGGCACAAAAGCACTGGTGCAGTACCAACTTTTATACCTAAAGGGTCCACTTTGGCACCTTAAATGTACATATTAATATATATAGTGTACATTGTAGCTAGGGATGTAACGATTAACCGCGAGCCGGTTGAAAATCGATTCAAATATGTGACAATTCAAATTGGTTGAGATGCTAAACAAATTGCAATTCAATTAGGGGTAGGAGTTTATATGAATGTATGTCTGAGGGGAACTTACTGTCTTTAGAAAAGTTTAGATGGTATTTTTTCTTTTCATCTTGCCTCTGTATAATGCATATTAAAGTTCATAAGTGCAGCACTGCTTTGTTTACAGCGGAAACCAAGGAAACGCTTTAAGCGCCACCTGCTGGCAGAGATTGAATCTGCGTCTCATTCAGCTCATCCGCTGTTTCTGTTTCATGCAGATATTTTTTATGTATAGTTTCACAAAACTGAAGTCAAACCATTCTGTTTTTGCTTCTAATTTCGAAATTATACAACCTAATTTAGATTTAAAAAAATGCTCATGTTGCATGTATGCAGCATCTTTGTTTGGATCATGATTAAAATGCAGTGGTTGCCTCTAATTTTAAATGGAAAGAGCACAGACAAAGCCTTATTTTGTTGAATCTTGTATGAAGAGATTTCTTTTATTTGTGTTACTTATTTATTTAATTTGGAGCTTGTTTTAAAATTTCAATTTAGTTTTGTTATTTACATTTACATTATATTTACATTTTGTCATTTAGCAGACACTTTTATCCAAAGCGACTTACAAATGAGGACAATAGAAGCAATCAAAACCAACAAAAGAGCAATAATATACAAGTGCTATATTAGTATATTATTATAGTGTTATATTTCAATTTCACAAAGAAACGTGCAGCATTTTGTCCAAGCAATAATAAAAGGACATATTTAATTGATAATTTGTCTTAAATCTCATTTTGTAAAAAAAAAAGTTGAGAGAATCGTTACATCCCTAATTGTAGCACCTAAAAGGTACAAAAATGTACCTTTTGTACCTTTTTTTCTAAGAGTGCACATACTGCTTTATGTGATGTATGCAGGTAAAATAGATTTATACTGTATATCCAAATTTTAATAAATTACTGAATTATATTTTACATTTTTGGATGTTATATCAGAAAACAGATTTGCTATAGAAATATATAAAATCAAACGTAAAAAAAAACTCCCTTGTACAACAATTAGCCAGGCCTATTTCTAGCACAGTATTCTAGTTTTACAGGTTTAGAATTATATTTACTCCACCCCGCAATCCATAACAAAGAGGAGGTGAGAGATTTCTTGTTTTCCTTTTCTCCCTCTCTTTCCGTTTACCCTTTCCCTTGAACTTAACTATTGTTCGTGAGTCTCCTTGGAAAGGATTTTGGGTCATGTAAGGGTACTTTTATGAAACAAATACATCCATGTGACACTACTGATATATAAGGCCATAACTCACTCACAGAAGTTAGCGTTCCATTTATTCTCTGCTTTACTCTTCATTCGCTCTCTTTTTTTATCTCCCCCCCACTCACTTCCTCCCCTCCACCGCTTGTTCAGTCATGCCCTTCTCCTCTGTCACATAGTTGTGGTTCATTGTGTGCTTAAGGATGCCTAATAACTGTTCTGCAGTCAGGTCTTCTTTCTCTAAATGATCGCAATCTAATCAATGGCCACGTCTCCTCTGACAGCTGTGCAATTGTTCTGGCACTGTTTACTACCGAACTCAGCCAGACAACTTCAGTTCTTCTAATTCTTCTACTTTTTCTTTATCCATCTCTCTAATTTATGCAAATGCACTTTGACATTACAGTGAAAAGTAGTGATGTGTCAGAACTCTTGACCAGTAGTGGTGGGAACTGCAAAGTGGTTCATTTCAATTAATTGCAACCATGGTTTATAATAAAAACAGCCATTAAGAACATAAAATCCTCGCAATGCATTTGCAATGAACAATACTAAAATTAATTTTAATTCATTTTTTTAAATTCATTGCTATTGCAATCAATTGACTTCTATAGTTGAATAGTGATAATGAATAATTTATTGACTAAATCAAGTCACTTACATATAATGTTAGTTTTATCTTTAATATTTTAAGTGCTGCAATTTAAAGGATGTGAATTAAAAGCTAAAAAAATTGATTTTAGGGTGTTATACTGAGAGTGTGTGTTTAAAAAAAAAAAAAAAGCTGTCTCCCCAACTTGATCATCTTTAAAGCAATGCCACAATAGCTGTGCTGCTTTCTTTTTTCTTTCTGCAGTGTTATGTACATCTGTGCTGTTTCTGAAACGGTTCGGTATGAATACGTGTACCGTTACACCCCTACTAGAAAATGAACAGTGTTTACATATATTTAAAAAAAGACGAAAAAGAAATAATTACTAAAAATATGAGAAGATATAAATTGTTATATATTTATTTTTAAAAATACATTCAAAGATTTGGGATCAGCAAGATTTTTTAAAGAAATCAATTGTATTCAGCAAGGATGCACTAAATTGATCAAAAGCGACAGTAAATCCTTTTACATAATTGTCATAAAACATTTCCCATTTCAAATAAATGCTGTTTCTCTGAACTTTCTATGTATCAAAATATCCTAAAAAACTTATCGTTTGCACATGTTTTTAAGCATTGCGGTTTAAAAACAAGTGATTTTAAGCCACTGAAATGCAATCAACAATGAAAGAGAACTCATTTAGCTTTATATGCCTTGAACAGTTAAATACACACACTTGTATGGGCCAAAATGCCCATCTTTGCTAGTATCTTCATGAACACAGTAAGGTCTTAAGCAAAAGCAAACAGCCGAGAAAGAAAACACATGTGTAACAGTATATTCGTTCCGGGCAGCTCTTAAAGTGACAACAGTCTAATATTCCTGCTGTCTGTCATTCATGTTAATCACAACAAAAGAGAGAAAATCTCACACTTCTCTTGACTAAATCACTTTTGTAACTTTAATAAGAAATATATTTCATTTTTCACAGTGAAGAATATGCAGTGTTTTTATACATTTAATTACTTTTTACGATGTATGTACTATGTAGCATTTCTTATTTATTTGTTCTACTGTACTTTTTGTCCTATTGTAATTAGTTTCTTATTCCCATTTAATCGCTGATTGTTACTTGTCCTCAGAGAGCTCGAGTTTTGTTTTGTTTTTAGAATCGTATTAGTTTTTTTTGTTATATTGACACTGGTGACAAGAATTATAAAATTTGTATGCTAGCAAAAATTTTGTTATCATAAAGACCTTATTCAAAGCAAAAATAACTATATTGTGATATATATCGTTACCGTGAAATAAAATTACTCATATTGTGATATACGTTTTTTTTGGTCATATCGCCCACCCCTATTGATATTAACAAAAAAAATTTTACTTGAGCCCCCAACTTGATCATCTTTAAAGCAATGCCACAATAGCTGTGCTGCTTTCTTTTTTCTTTCTGCAGTGTTATGTACATCTGTGCTGTTTCTGAATGCAAAAACACATTCTACGAAACACGTCTGATCTGGTGGGCAATGGCATGGTCCTAAACCAACTTAATTATACAGGGCTTCCTTAAGACAGACTAGTCGACTAGACATTCTGAAAACCCACTGAGGACGGAGTAGATTATGAAACTATAGTGCTGTATATGCCTAGCCCATAATTCCCCTGAAGCCAGTCCGAGTTGAACGTGAGAACATTGTTCATTCGGTTACACTCCCTCCCTATTTTCTCCCCTGCTCTGTCATACTAAACACATGCCTTAGTAATTATCTTTAACTTAGGGATAATCAAAGCTCAGTTTACGTCAACCCCCACGTGGCAGAGAATCCCTGGCAAACCAAACCAAACTGCAATCCGGCACAGAGAGAAAGACAGCCATGTTTTCCTCATTAAACATCAATAGATCAGTCAGATGTCTAACAATAATGACCTTCCACTTCCTGTCTGTGACCATAACAATGAAAAGATGCTAAGCTTACCAGCTCGGGGCCAGGCAGTATTAACCAATAAAAAGGAAGCCTCCCCCTCCATAGCAACATACCAGGAGCCAATCAGAGGCATTCTAGCTTGTGGGGCTTGCTGTAGCATCATCATCTCAACCTGAGGAACTAAAATAAACTGACCACCATACCCTCATTCATGCTTACACAAACATACACTACTGCTCTCCTAAACACTAACCTAAACTATTCCTAAACACGCACGTCTGAGCACACAACAAGCCGCTAGTCTAGTTAAGTGACAGTCAAAGTCTGATATGAGAAGATATTTCCATGACATATGGAAAACTGTTTGAGGAAGACAGATGATTTTACGTTTTGCTCAGCAGACTGGCATTTTTTTAACGCAAAGTTAAATGAGAGAGGCTGCGAGGATGTAAAGTGACTCATGGTAACTGTACTGCAGTTTGTAATGAATTAGGAATTCTGAATAATGTACATAAGCCATCACAGACTGTGGCTGAAGCAGGTTTTTAAAAACTCTGTAAAAGGCGTTTCAAGTGGCAATACCATCAAACACCATTTGTTTTTATACAGAAGTGTGTACAACTCCCTCAGGAGGGCCCTTCAAAATGACTGCTGCTGAAAGTAAAAAGCTTTCAAACAAAGCCATAATTCACTTTACAGGCACTTTACACACTAGAAAATAGGGGTGTAACGGTACACAAATATGACAGTTCGGTACATACCTCGGTTTTAACGTCACGGTTCGGTATGATTTCGGTACAGCAGGGGGAAAAACTAAACTTTTGATATATATCGTTACCGTGAAATAAAATTACTCATATTGTGATATACGTTTTTTTTGGTCATATCGCCCACCCCTATTGATATTAACAAAAAAAATTTTACTTGAGCGCTAAATCAGCATCATGTGACACTGAAGATTGGAGTAATGGCTGCTAAATTCAGCTTTGACATAACAGAAAAAAACTAAATTTTAAACAAAAGAGTTATTTTAAATTGCAATAATACTTCAATATTACCATTTTGACTGTATTTTTGATCAAATAAATTCATCTTTGGGAAGCATAAGAGACTTTTATCTTTAGCAATTTAGACAGACAGACAGATTTTTTTCTCTAGTGCAAAGCTAAAAACAAACCGCAGAGTTATCTCCATTCTTCCACTGGTCTCTGGTGACGGTGAAATTAGTTAAACTGCTGTGAATTCAGAATCTGTCAATTTACAGAGGTTACCTGAGGTCACAGGGATGACCACATTCAAATAGACAACACCTCTTTATTGGTCATGCTGACAATCATGACCTCTGGAGATTCTTGCCCTGCCTGTTGTTAGCCAGTGGGATGGACACTTGTAACTATGGTAACCTAATCTGACACAGCTGTTAGGTTTGTCTGGCTTCAATGTATCCTATTGTTTCTGTTTGCCTTCCTTTTGCTGAGCTCCTAGCCTCCCACTGTATTTTGTTCTTCCTTCCTTGCTGTTCTTCTGTAAAGCTCATTAATTACTTCCATCTGCGGTCGTTTACCTCAACTTGCACTTCTTTCCACTTAAACTGAGAGGCTTAGCGTTCCCCATCTTCATTCCCTGGAGGTGTTTTAGTGGATTTGGACACCTGTGCCTTTGTTTCTCACCTTAACGCACTTCGAGTTACCTCACATTCACACTCTTGTATTTATCTGTCCTCCAGAGCAACAACATAATCAGATTACTGACAAACACTATATGATTCATCATCCGCTGGTCCAACATTAGCCACCCGGTCCATTCTATGTCAGATAACACGTTCAAACAACCATTCAATTTATCTTACACCACTGTATGTTAAAGCTGAGCACTCAAATGAGATTAAATCTCTTTGTTTTGTTTGTTGTCCCTTCCATTCCCATCATTTTTCTGGTGAACTGAAATAGTCCAGTCTTTACAGTAAAAAAAAAAAAGTGTAACATCCAACAGGGAGAGGAGATGCAAAATTTAACATTAAAGAGTTAAAGTTTACCATTTGTAGCCTACATATTTACACACTCAAGCGATTTTAAACCATTCCAGCACAAGAAGAGGCGAAAGAGATCTCGATTTGCACACGCAGAGTGGCGCGTTTCAGACAGTGTGCAAGAACTGAATCCTCTTTCGAATCTCCTTGCATTTGAACAGACACATACACATAAAATTATGATAAATACCTAATTATGATAACCTGGTGCTGTCATTAATGCTATTCAAACAACAAAACACAGCTTTGACATAGATTAATCTATCGTTCATTCATACAGTGAACACTATGCAGTGTTATTTTACACTTAATTATGACATTTTTGTACCTGAATTCTACAAACCTTATTCTACTTGCAACTTCATTCTGATGTATTTATTTATGCTTGTAATTTGTGCATTTGTTCTTATTTTTTACTGGCTGTTCACTTGTCTTTAATCATGTTTGAACTTTCTTAGTTAGGCTAGTAGGTTTTTCCGTGGTATCAAAGAAGTACTTCGATTTAAGTAATAAATGTAAAGCAAAGTTACATTGAAATATTTTTTTCCCCTTGCTGATTCGAAAAACGATCTGATCTGTGACTCAAAAAAGTAATATGATCTGAACTGTGAGTTTTGTGATCCATTGAACCACTCTTG